CACTCTAAAGTCATTTCTCAGTTATGCTAGTGAGATGCTGCTGATGCGACAAGACATCATTCAGTGTGTTCAGTTCCTCCGTTCTCGCGCCCATATCCTCCTCCCTCGTCCAACTTCGATCGGCCTCCAATCTGGAAAACTCAAAACACGCTACACATCGACGCATAAAAAATGAGGCTTCCACTGCTCTCAACAGCCAAGTTGTTTGTTTAAAAAAATGAACAAGACCTAGGGCCCGTGGACCATAAGTGATCAGTTCAGCAGTTACTAAGTGCCCATTCTGCACAAGCATAACTGGAAACTTGTGATAAGTGTACTGATGCTGCCACCTCGCAACAACTTACCCCCTTTTTCCTCCTCTATTCTCGGAATTTTACTTTAGCGATTCTATATGTTGTAATTTCTTAATAAAAACGTTATTTTCCGCTTTATCACAATTCTACCGCATTCAGTGCATGGTAAATCATAATTGAGCATTTGCAGGCAGCCAAGAACCAGCCCACAACGATGACCTGGACTGTCTTGGGAATTTATGGACCACGGAATCGAATAACAGCAATCAGTACCTTTTGAGAGTTTCCTGCAAAAAATTCCCATGAACAGAGCTTTCGCAAAGCATTCATTCAGTTTCTCGATGATCATAATACACCTCCTCATCCTGCTGCTTCCCCTCTTCCCGCTACAGTAATTACTTAAGCTAACTGCTTAGAAGCACGAAAATAGGCCTCTCGCTGCACCTACTACATATAGGCACAAAAATGCACACCTGAAGGTCCCAATATGATGATTTTTATTCGAATCGCCCCATTCAGCTGGTGAAATGATCGAGAAGAAGCGAGTGCCATCAGGTCTTCGATATAAGTGATACAATGAACCGGGTACTTTTTGAAAATTACAAGGTACATTATGGAGGTCCGTGTCGCGCTCCGCTTCCAGTAATACCTCTTCTGCTTGCTGCAAACAAACAGTGACGTAGTTACGTCCAGAAAATTTTAGCAGCACTCATACAAACACTCTTGTAAAGCCATACCGCACACTCTGCCATAACGAGAAGTGAGAAGTTTTCCTCAGTGAAAAGACTAATATTTTCGCCTGGAAAGACAACATCGCTGAACGGTAATCCCACTTCGAGCGCTCTTGCTATACAGAATCACACGAAGAATGATTTAGGATGTAGCATTAATGCACAAATATCGCATCCTCACTGAACCTTTTTTTAGGAAATTCACCATGATGAAAAAACAGAAGGTGCGTATGTGCGCGTACTTGTCTACGTTGCATATGTGCGTACTCCGTATGGGTGTGTGCATGGACAATAGAGTGTATCTCTGTGCATATATGTGAATAGGCCTATGCATGTGTGTGTGTGTGTGTTTGTCTGTACGTCCATTACGCACCATTCGTAGAAACTTCATCTGCTGTGCGATTGTTGCAAGCCGTCCGAGTGCTCGATTCTTCACGAAATCGTGCGATTCACGCACTTTTTCGGCCAGCTTCACAATATCAGCTGCATCCTGTATTTCGGCAGCTTTCCTTGAGATCTGTTTGCCGGCATCCACCACGTGAACGTCGCCTTAAGTTAACAACGAATAACATCTAGCGCTGAGCAGAGAGCCTGCGATAGGTAAAGATCATGAGGAATTTGTAAAAATTTGATGAGCGCAAGAAACAGCAAAAAGAAAACAAATTGCGGCGCACACCGGGACGCCAGGTGCGATTATGCTCTTTGTGCAACCTTGTCCAGCGAGCGCTTGTACGATTCTGCCTAGCGGACGCTTTTTCAACCTTTTCCAACTAATGCTTGTGCATCTCTGCGGGGAACCTTGCTGTCAAAACTGTCCACTGCATCACTGTTACATGTTAATTTTGGCGCCAAAACTAATTTGGGCGAGGAGCATTATTCTGAAGTTTCAACCTCCTTTAGATTTTCTGCTTTCCGAGTCAATAATTTTTGCCCCAGTAACTTTCGTGCACCCTCTTTCACGCGTCCGTTTGTGTGTACCATAAGGACGCCAACGTTCATTTTACGTAGGACCCCGTACAGGGGGGAGTAGGCTAATTTTTATGCGCTTTTTGTGAAATTGACGCAGTGAAAAAACACACACTGATGAAAGAAAAAATGTACTGTACACACTGTATATTTTATCATACATGGTTTTTTTTACAACCTATTTGCTATATTTATTATACTTATGCAGTAAATGTTTTCAGCCACACATAT